TTTTTTTGATGAAAAAGTGCTTCCGGTGACTTCACCGGAAGCACGTTTTCATCAAAAAAAGATGGCGGCGCCCAGCAAGCCAGCGGCCCGGTAGGAGTTGTTCCACGGCCCGGTACCGGTCCGCGGCCCGGTGGTTGGGGACCCCTGTTGTAAAGGATCTCTCTACTGATCAAGCTTATAGATATAGGATCATACAGGCCATAAGGACTGGAGAACTTCCCACAGTTGTGGCCCTTCTGGAAATTAGCCCTTGTAAGCCATTCATACTGATTGACAACTGCAAATAGACTTTGTCGAATATGAGTTTCCAAGTGTGGCTTTTAAGGCAAAACTCTCCAAAACTTAAGAATGATAGTGGAATACGTCATTGGTGTGTACTACACTTGCTGGTTCAACATCCAAGTAAAATATTCCTGGATTGAAGGCCTGTGTCATGTGTTGTTCTAGCTGCAGCAAGTCAGACTGAAAAAGAAGGCTGTAGTAGATGTTGTTTTGTCAACCATTCAGTGCATAGTATGCTTTCAGTGAAATTTTAATCCAGACACTCTTGTATTGAGATGACATTCAAGAGGAGAGCTGGTGTGCAAAAGATCATTGACTTGAGAGTGCAGATGATGAAGTGCTGGGAGATTTTTTGTACGTGCAAGAAAAATGCCTTTAATCAATACCAGAGCATCCACTTTGCTGGAACTGATAGACTGATCTGAAGATGTATATGAGCTACCTTTGATGTGCAAACTGACTACAGTGGAAATAAGTTAATTGTCATGCCCAATCAATAGAGAGATGTGTGAAACAGGTCACATCAGAGGCTAAGAAGCAAGTCGGCAGCTGATGTCGAACAAATCAAAACAAGATTTGATGAAAATTGCTTAAATATTTCAGATAATTGCATTCTGATGTTAGTTTATGATTGCAAGGATTATTTTTTGCTTAGCTAGATAATATGCATGCAGAAAAAAACTATTTTTGTAGCATAAGGTATAATTTTGCGAAGATAGTTATCAGTATTTGGATTACAAGAAACTTTTGTGGGGAATATGATCAGACATGGATTTACCATACCAAGCTAAACGTTGTGCAATTGCAAAAATAACAGCAGATTTGAATTCTTGGTGTAAAAACACATATTTTTAAAACCCCTCACTGAAAAAAATTTAAAAAAATAATTTTCACCCCATTAAATGACACACCATAGCAGTCCTGAGGTCATGTGAACAGCTTTTTTAACCTGACAAGCAAAGTCAATGGGAAACCCAGATTTACTTAACAACCGTCTTACTAACTTAACAATTGCAATTATTCACTTAATAATTGTGGCAAGATAGGTCATAAAGTGAGACAAATTTAACAAATGTCTTAGCAACATAAATTTTGGGCTCAGATGTGGTCATAAGTCAAGGACTACCTATATTAACTACTTGGCTGTTTTCAGATTGCTCTTATCTCAGGTGGCACTGATTATAATGTTTTAAATGTTGTGGAATTTATAGCTGACTTTACAAGTCTGGTTGTAGATTACAAAATACTTTCTGTTTTGAATTTTAGTATCTTGGGATGATTCTCAAAACTCTACTCACGAAAGAGACCCTATGAATATGGCTGAGGCACGCATTGATATTAAGAGACTTCTCCAGTTCCTTGCAGGGCAACAAGTCAACCCCACAAAAGCACTGTGTAGTAAGTGTTCCTTTTTTACTAGTCTTTTAATCAGTTTAATATCTAGGTGCATAAAATATTTGATAAAAATGGTCATTCTTTTCTATAAAATGAAAATGTCTGGTTGTTAATTTATTCAGGCTGAACCAATGGTGTTCAATGGAGGATCAGTTCTAGATCAAATATTTATTTGTTTTTACTCAATTTCTGCAGTTGTCCATCTCAATGCTTCTGGGTGGCTTATAATTAAAACATGCAATAAACAATAAAACACTATAAAACAATAAAAAACTAAATAAAAATGTTTATCCAAAACAAATATGCATATTGATACCAATATCAGTTTGGTAGTCTCAGATCCATGACTCTAGCAGACTGGCAAATTATCCTGCTGGCTACAGGACTATTTGTCATGCTACTGCAAATTCATAATTACCGTTTGGCTAAATTCTCTCCCAGTAATAGACCACTTCAACAGACTTTCAGAGAACTGCCATTCCATACAGTTTCGGATTATTGTTAGATATATCTTGCCTTTTAATGCGAACTCATGGCCACCAGCAAAAAAAATGGATTTGTAGTGCAGTTGTGAAGTTCTTTTATGTTTTTCTTTTTCCTTCAAAGTTTTTTCTAATATTTGAATATTTGAAGATTGCATTTAATCTTACCTTTACAGTAAATAATTAATGATTCCTTGACGACTTCTCCATGATTTATATTTTTCTCATTATTTACTGGTTTTTTATTTAAAAATCTTGTTTTGTTATAGCAAGTACCATGCAGAACTGAAATTCTGAGTTTCCTATTCACTACTGAGACTTAAATTCTTCTGATCAAGTGCCGAGGAATATTTTATATTCTTCCAGTCAAATAGTCCTCAACTTACAGGGTCCTTTAAAAACCATTTGAACCATAAAGCACCCTTGGCCATTGTAAATAGTTGTACCTCAGGCCAGTCAAGTTTATGACCAGTTGTGTTCCACGGTCATGTAACCACAATTTATGATTATTTTTGCTGTTTTTTGTTTAAAAAATAGATTTGATTAACAACAACCATACTTTCCTCGCACCAACCATAGAAAGGGGTCTAGGACAACTCACTGTGTCAACTCTCCATGGGACAACTCATCATGGCCAACTTGCTGTGGGACAGCTCACCATGGGTCAAGCCTTTTGCTAATTTTGAAGAAATGGTGTAGAATAATTAAAGTATGCAAAAGGAGAAACAAAATGAAATGTGAATGACAAAAATTAAAATATTTTTTAATTATGTTAAATAATTGAGTTGAATCGTGCTGCGATGAATTGGCCTCTGGTGAGTTGTCTCATGGCAAGTTGACCATGGTGAGTTGACTGCCGAGATGGCCATGGCGAGTTGTCCCATTCCAGTAGAAAGACTAGGAAAATACTTCCAATAACATGTTTGCCTTGACTTATGACTGTAATGACATGAGCAGATTTCTGGTTTCAATTATAGTCATACGTTGAGGATGTATGCACTCTTTATTGAATAAGAAGCACTTGACCAATTACCATGCTTCATATTGGGTTTTGTTATTCTTTAAAATATGGATTTGTGTCTTGCAGATATTGCAAGTAACAGAATTGTTCATTTCATCTTACTACATGAGGACGTCTCTCTTCAATATTTCATTCCAGCCCTCGCATGAATTGAAAAGTCATTCCAGCATATCCTCAAGTTGTTGAAATAGATTAAAAAGAATGAAGGGAAAGATGCTCTCTGTCTTATTAAAATTGTAGCCAATTTACTCTCTCTTTCTGAGTGGATGGAATATTATTTAAAAATCATGCAGAGAATGTGGGAAGAGAATAAGAACAGAATTAAAGAAATAAATCATTTGTTTTTACCTATTTAGGAATGATGATCTTTTCAAAATCTCATTTTAAGTTACGAAAACACAGATGTTTTGAAACTACTGTCAAATAGCTATCTCTAGGATATGTGATTTTTAGTAGAAAGTGCTTGGAAAAATATCTTGGAAAAATAATGAACTCTTATCTAATAGATTCAATTAAGCATTGACCTAGATAGCTAAATACTGTGTAGATTTAATGTTTTGATGATGATATCGTATAAATGAAGCAAATTACATCATAATATTTGCATGCAACAAATGTATTACGTGGAATAAATATCTGTTCCAATGTATGCAAAAGATGTAAATTGCAGCAACAAAATTATATACTGCATGCAAGTCCATTATATCAAATTTTGATTTTATAAAGCTTATAAACTAAATAAACATATATAAATTTATAAACACATTTCAAATAAGCATAGGTAACTAATCATTTAGGATAAATCCATATGGATAGTCATACATATTTATGCACTAACCTTAAACATTACAAAGTGAAGCAATCAAGGGATGAAATAAACTTTACAGAAATTCCTGAAGTTGGATTTGACAGTTGATTCCTAGGTAAGAGTGTAATTATTGTAGATGGCAGTGATGGGCAGCAGCCTTACATCACAACAGATAAAAACAGTTGTGTGCCATGGGAGAAAGAAGTGAAAGAGAGCTAAAGTTCAAGCAAAGTTAAGTAAAGTAAAAGAAGCAAATGATGAGAAGAAAAGGACAATGAAAGAATTGGTGCTGCACAACTGACAGACAAAAGCAACGACCCAGCATGATGGTTCAGAAAGGGGGGAGAAGGAAGAAGAAAAATAAAGTTAAGCAAAGTTAAGTAAAAGTTAAAGAGGAAAAGGAAAAGAAACAACAGAAGGAAGGAAGGAAGGGAGAAAAGAAGATGGGGAAAAGATGGCGGGGTATACAACTGGTGTTTGGCTCAATCAATGCAGGTGGCATTGCAGTCAATATGTACAGTTCGTGGCAGTGGTGTTGGGCAATGTTGACAGCAATTATGGGCACAACTAACATGCACCTAGGAGCATTGCCAATGAGTGTAAATAGTGATTTATGCAGCAGACAGTAGCGCAAAGTGGCATGCACAACTGGCAGCAAAGGTGAAAGGTAGAAGACGCAGTGAAGTGCTTAGCTTAGAGAAGAGGAAAAGTAAAGTTAAAGAAGCAAAGGAAGAAGAAAGGTGGAGAAAGAAGGAGAGAGAAGGAATGGCATCAGGACTACAGCACTAGCTACAAGAGAGAATTCAACATTAGCAACAAGAATGAGCAAATGATTAATTTTTAAGTATTATTTCAACATTAACCCGAAGAAGACCAATTTCTAAAAGAAGGAAGGGACCCAAAGATTGTTTAAAAACTGCATAAAGCTGTTTCTTTTTGTTTTAAATAAAATTTTAGTTTTTTCAAAGTCTTCTAGTTTTTGAAATTTTAGAATTTTTAAAATAACTCCATCAGTTAGGATCTTAAAATAAAGCCTTACTAAAATATCCCAAAGGTGCTTTTCAAGAGGCTTCCTGGTTTTCTTTAAAGATGTTTCACTTCTCATCCAAGAAGTTTCTTCAGCTTCTTGGATGAAGCTCCTTCAGCCTCAAGTGAAGAAATTTGGATAAGAAGTGAAACGTCTTCAAAGAAAACCAGAAAATCCAGTTGCCTCTTAGAATATCACATTTTTGGGACAACCATAACCTGGATGCTGAGAATATCCTTAGACTTACTAAAACATATTTTTAAAACATATTTTTTTTAAATTAAATTTCTAAAATTAAGATTTAAAAATTTTTAAAACAATGTAGGGACCCATTGGTGACTATATGTTTTGCCCCACTCATTCACACACACACAAAAGTGTTTTTAGAAAGTTTTTATTAATGTTCCCCAGCAATTCCTTTCAGCCAGCCTCAGAACTGTCCCAAATCTAGCCACAAGCAGGCCAAAGTTAGTCCACAAAGTAATGGCTAATAATCCATAAAACAATGGAAAATTGCACCAAAAAGTCAGTCCACCAAACAAACTTAAATCCACCAAGCCAAACTGAAATACACCCACAAGAGCTAACTTGGCACTTCCTGTTTTGAGCTTCCCCAAACACGGACCGCTGACCGCGATCGTGCGCAGCTTTGGTTCATGCTTTGGTGTCGGAGAGCCCCAATCCTTTGGATTCGGGGAAGAAGCTACCTCATAGGGGTTGCGGAGGAAGGGGAGACCGTCAGCTGGGTAGAGGGGAGTCACAAACCCCCTCCCCGGCTTGACAATTGCTCCTTCCCGAAGACGCCTGAAGCGGTGGTCTAAAATGGCCACCCTGAAGGGGAAGATTAGACTGGAATAAGATTGTGCAGGAGAGAGAGAAAGAAGCAAACAGCAGGAGGAACATGACGATACAATCAAATGGAAGATACCCCCAGGATTAACATTTCAAAGAATCTTTAAGAAAGGATCTAAGCAGCAAAGAGAAACAGAAAAAAAAAGGTGTGAATTGCTTTTGATAGTGTCGGGGCTTCGAAACCACAGAAGGTAGAAGCTAGAGAAGGAACTATATAATCAACTTGGATAAGTATACTTTGATTTTATATTGGCACTAATAAAGCTGAACTATAGACTGTTAAAGAGGAAATTTAATATCAACTGGATTTGATCTTTTTCTTGTTGGAAAATTGTGGTTTAAAAAGCTCTGAATAATAGAGAAGAAAAAAGAAAAGTGGGGGTGAAGACTTAGCATAATAAAGAGTGCCATCTCAGTTAAACTCAACTTGTTTTTCTTTTAAAAAACTCTTGTTTCTTGAAATTGCATGGAAATTGATACAATAAAGCAAGAACTTTGAAAAATTGAAACATTGTAACAAAGAAAGAATTAGGAAAATTCTGCCTTTGGATTAGTTGCTGATTCTGACATGAATTTGGCACTGGATTAGCGGAGACTTAAAAACTTGAGAGGAAGAAAAGTTGACTGTTGGAAATAAACTTTAAAGATACTATTTGGATTAAATTGTGAATCAGAAAGTTGTAAAATGGCCATTTCTCTTCTGACATTAAAAATGATACTCAGAAAAATGAAAGAAACACTACAAGAACGAGGTGAATCGTTTAAAATTTATTGAAAATGCGACAGCAGAATATGAACAACAAAGACAAAAGGCAGAAGAAGAGGTGGAGCAAATCATAGAAGAGACCATCTTTAGTGATCATCGAGAACCAAGAGCTCTTGAAAGAAAGAAGAAAAGAGTTGGAAATAAATAGAGGAGATTTAAGAAATTAAATAGAAAGGGGAATATCCAAAAAATTAAAAAAGGGAAAAAGAGTCAGCAGAAATTGAAAGGGCGAAAGGAAGCTATAAATAGAGAGATAAACACTGGAGTGAAAGTACAAAGGAGAAAAGACAGGGGAAAAGAAGGGACAAGAAACAGGATTTGGAAACAAAGAAATATGGGAATTGTAAAAAAATGGGGAAATCCTTAATTGGACACAGAGATAATGGGTGATTATTATATAGAAAGGGGATTCTGCAAGGTATTGAGGGGTAATATAAGTAAATTTATAGTTACGAAATAGGGACATACAGACTGACAAGATGGAAAAACAGAATTGTTATTTTTTGGATAATGGAATCTAATGCTCTTCCTCTTTATGTAGAGGAATAATTGTAACAAATAATGGAATAAATATATTTGATATATTGAAATATTTTTAAGATTGGAATGTTGGCTTTTTTTGGTTTAAATATGAATGGAATAATTAATGTAATATGTGTATTAAATATATGGAAATAAATGAAATGATATAGGAGAAGAGCTGAAATGGAATTAACTTTAGGGCTTAGGATTGTTTTACTGTTTGAGTAGATTAATGTGTCCTTTTTTGGGGGGGAAATTTAATGAAATTTAAAAGGAGAAAAATCATGCAGAATCTGATTTATATATGCTATGTAGTTTTAAAAGGATTATTAAGTTTAATGTTTTAGGTAATAATGTTAAATGTTTTAACGAGATTTAAAAGGGGTGAAAATAAATGAATTTATAACTTAGAGGTGGTGCACTTATATTGAGATTTCAGGGGGGAAACCAATTTATAGAAGTGTCTTTTTTTAATTAGAATTTAAGATGAAATATACAAATGTGACAGTTAAAAGCACTAAAGTATAATGATTATGAAGTTATCATAAGTGAATTAATTAATGAGATAAATATTTGGAATAATACAATAAAATAGAAAATGTATAAAAGTACTGTTAAGATAAGGAATTGGATATAAAAATTGAATATGTAACCATGCTGTTCACTAAAAAGAGACGTTAAAATATGGAAAACTGAATAAAACTTGTTTAAAAAAAAAGAGCTGACTTGGCAAGAGAAGTTCAGAGTTTCCAAGGCACAAAGCCATAAACCAAACACATTCCCAGCAATGCTTCTCTTTGCCTGCCATGATAAATAAGCTGTCCGGTGTAGCCCATCAAGATGGGCAGGGCCTTCTCCTGAGAATCTGGCAGATTTACTCTGTGGATTACTTGAACTTGAAGATAAATTATTGATTGCAAAATACAGTATATTTTGAAAGTGATCTGATTTGCCTTCAATGTGTTACATTTAAAGTTTGTTTAGACACCCAGGCACAGGAGGGAGCAAGCATTAACTCTTCAACATTTCAATATTAATCACAAGAGGGAGAAAAAAACAAGTTTTAAAACCAAAGGATACAATATTGAATGATTGTTTAATTATTATTTTTTAATAACAATAAAAACATTGTTAAAAAAATAAATGCCTGCATCATTTTAAAAAAAGAATAAGGGAGCTGCATTGGGACTATTGAGAGTATTTTCAAGAAAAATAACAAGAGGGAGTCAACTTATTCTCCAAAGCACTTGAAGCCAAGACAAGAAATGATGGGTGGAAGCTTGTTAAGGAGAGATCCAACTGGAATCTAGGAGAAATTTTCTGACACAGAACAATCAATGGAACAGCCTGTCTGTCACCAGACGTTTTCAAGAATAGACTGGACAACCATTTTACTGGGATGATATAAGATCTCCTGCCTTGAGCCAGATGGTTGAAGAGAAGACCTCCAAAGTCCCTTCCTGCCCTATGATTCTATGAATAGTGTTTATATATATTGTAGTTTATTTTTATGTGTCTACTGATGGCTGATTTGTCTGAATTCAAGCTTCCAGGAATTTATCTGATTCTATGAATTCCCTAATGTTTTTGGATTTAACTTGGTCTAAAAAGCTTGCATACGAAACTGTCTTGAGCTAGAATTTTCATTGTATCATCTTTTAGTTTGTAGATTCTCTTTAGATTAGAGGATGTTCTCTGCCAATCTTCTGCATACTGTATGCCTACTTAAGTGGCTGTTATAGTCCTTACTCTGTACATTGTAGATGACTCCTATTATTCCTGTCCAGCTCCGGAGCTCCACACCATTTTTTTTTCAGAGGGGAATCTGACTCGAGTATAAGCCGAGGGGGGTTTTTTCAGCACAAAAAATGGGCTGAAAAACTCGGCTTATACTCGAGTATATACGGTATACATCTTGCTGTTAAATTAATCCCTAAGTACTTTACTTTCTTTATAATCTGAATATCTATTCTCTTCATTAATTCTTTTATCTGCATTTCTGTGAGATTTTTAACTAATATCTTAGTTTTCTCTTTGTTTATTTTTAATCCTGCCATTTCGCAATATTCCTCTATTTTTTTTAATTAGCTTAAGGCCTGTTTTTAATGGATCTTCCAAAATAAAAACTAAATCATCTGCAAATGCCTGTAACGTATTTTTCTTTTTTTATTTCCAAACCTGTTATTTCTATATCTTGTCTAATATTTCTATTTAATATCTCCAGCATCAATATAAATAATAGAGGAGACAAGAGGCATCCTTGTTGTGTACCCTTTTTAATAGCAACCTTCCCTGTCATATTTCCATTTACCATCACCTTTGCTGTTTGCTTATAGTTTATTGCCTTAACCATATTAATAAATCTCTTCCCAAAATCCATATCTTTCAGCTGTGCTAACATAAATTGCCAATTCAAATTGTCAAATGCTCTCTGCGCATCTAGGAAGATCAATGCCTCCCTGGATGTGCTTCCCTGGATGTGCTTCGTAGTACACCAACGTGTTTAAAATTAATCTCATATTGTCTTTAATTTGTCTCTTAGGCAAGAATCCATTTTGGTCTGGATGTACAAATTGATTTAGAAATCTTTTAAGTCTTTCTGCAATTATTGAAGCATAGATTTTATAGTCCGCATTCAATAAATATATCGGTCTGTAATTTTTTATCTGTTGCAAGTTTGAGTCTTCCTTTGATATGAGCGTAATA